TGTTCCTCCTGCTGTTCCTCCTGTTGTTCCTCCTACTGCCCGGGCCTCATTAAGAGCTGCTCCCTCTGCCTTACTGCACCAAAGACATGACCACAGGTGGAATCTGCTGGGATTTGTTTTCTAATCGTTGTTTTATAATGAAGGTGAAGAGCTCTATTTTTTTAAGATGCTCGTGGTGTTTTTGAATGTAAAGCCGGTCAGGAGCCATCCCTCTGGGGGGGGCTGAACCGGATCCGTCATCATGAAACATCTGCTTCCATAACAGGGGATTTTTTGAAAGTTGGAGCGAATGTTTGAAGGAGTTTTTTGTTCCTTATTTATTCTCTGGTGTGGGTAGTTTGTTCTGCTAACAGAACGGGCTCTTGCGGATGGGGGGACATGTTTGTCATGGGGTGCCTGAACCCCCACTGGGGGGGCGCCTGCAGCCTCCTTTGATGCCTTGCTGGTAAAAGCACTACTTGAAACGTTTGTGCCTTTGTTGTTGTCTCCATTTGCACTTGATTTGCCTTTTAAAATGTGGAAATATGTGTCTGATCTGTGGTGGATCCATCCTGGGGAGGATAGGACATGTTCTGGTTTGGTTCTGAATATGAGGCTTTCAAACTGGTGTCTTTCTTTGTATTTTTTATGGGAATCACAGTGTCTCAAAATGAATGAAAAAGAATCTAAAAATCAATAAAATGACTTGATACCAAAAACTTAATCCATTCATGTTTTAAAGCGTGGCTCCGGGGATGGACTGGAGTAAGAGCTTCATTGGGTAGTGAACGTAGTGAAAAAAACAGAGAAATCACGATAACTATGGAATGAAATGACGTCTGTGAGGAATGACATCGTCAAGAAAAAGCATTCATCATCAATAAATGTGAATTTGTGGAAAAGTTTATTCAAATTTCACTGTTAAAAAAGTGTATTTATAAGTTTATAAGTTTAGTTTATAAGATGAAGAAACGCAGAGCCACCCTTGTTAAACTGATCAATCTAAAAAGAAGAACAATTAGAGAGCAAAGCTAAAATGAGAACTGTTACCGTCACAACCAGTTCAAATCATGAAGTCCTATCCAAACTAAAGTCACACAGTTCAGAGGCCTTATGATCCCATTGGATGTTGTTACTCCTGAAATCCAGCTCCCCGCATTCAAACAGCTGAATCCAGATGATCATTATTCTCATGACCCCACATCCTCAGCCTGGACCAGCAGCGTCCTCAGGGAGCTCCAGGGTCCTCAGCACTCTGCGGGTTCTGCTTCTGGTTCTGGTTCGTCTTTCCTGGTTCTGGTTCCTGTTTCTGGTTCCTAGTTCTGGTTCCCGGTCCTGGTTCCTAGTTCCTGGTTCTGGTTCTCAGAATCACACACCGCCTCACAGAAAAGAGGATTTTTCCGGCGCTGAGTGTTTGAGAGCGAGCGTCCGTGACGGTGCACGCGCGCACTCAACGCCTGGAGACACGCGGAGGCGCGCGCGTGCAGGCTGCGTGAGCCCGGCTCCAGAACCGAGAGGAGCCCGGTGTAGGAGACACGGGGATGACTCGGAGCTGTGGCGGCGGAGCGGAGAGGCTCTGAGGACCCGCCGACGGGGGCCGGATCATGGGCTCCGCCTCATCGTCCTACCGGGTCATTTACCTGGACGTGGACGGCCGGATCCAGAAGGTAGGCGCACACTGGAACACCGGAACCACTGGAACCAGTGGGAGTGTTTGTCTGAGCCTTTCTGCGTGGTAAGTCCCCACAGGTCCAGATCCAGGGGGGTGTCGGTCTTTTACTGATGTGACATTAGGAGAGAACACTTGTGATGGAGGTTCTTAAACCAATGATCACAGTCACACTAGGAACCAGGGGCTGATAAAAAAAGAGCTGACACACCGTTTTTAAACACTGTTTTATGTATGTTAAGTCAAAATCATTGTTCCCAATGTTTCCACTGGACTATGTCGGATCAGCTGTGAGGAAGGGCTGGTCTTTTGACTGTAATAAGTTTCTATATTAAAGTGATTCAGAACAGAAAGATGTCCAAAATGTCGGTATAATAAGCTGCTTCCAAAATGATGAGTAAAGAAAGCCTGTGTTTAGTGAGTGTCAAACATGAATGTGTACTGTTGTCTGAGAGCACGTCATCATATTCCAGACATGGTGCTACAGTGGTGGTGAGCTCTGACACAGGAGGTTAGAGGAGGTGTTCTGGTTTCTGCGGGACAGCCGGTGGCTTTCCTCTAGAGGCGGATAACAGAGCTGTCTGCTCCGGGAGCAGCTGAGCTTTCCCACTCACATGTTGTCTGAACAAGATCAGACCAGGAGAGGCTCAGGAGACAGAGCGGGATCCCAGAGAGGAGGAGGTGTGGACCAGATCCCTGGCAGACGGTGGAGGAGGGGGGCTCCTGTGGGGACACAGCAGAGGAATCAGCTCTCTGGGCTTTAGGAGGATTGGAGCATCTTTATTTGATTCAATTCAGTTCAGCTGGATCTCTGGAGCTCCAGATCCCAATAACAGCAGCAGCTATCTCCCAGCTCTCCAACCAGAGCAGCTCACACTCTGAGTTATTCACAGAAGAACTACAGCTCCCACCAAGAGCAGCACTAGGAGACACAGGGAGGAAACAACTGCCTTTAGGAGTAGAACCATGGGGGGGGGGGGTCCATGACCTCCTGCAGGAGGTGATGGAGGAGAGAGGAGAGGGAGGCGAAGCTCAGGACTACGGGAAAGGGAGGAGGTCCAGTCAGTGACATCACTAATGGGATGAGATCGAGAGAGAGAAAGGAGAGGTGCATGATGGGAAATCCCCCGGCCTCTGGCAGCAGAACTAGGGCTGGACTCACCCTAGTCTTAAGCCTACTCTGAATGTAAAGACGGGTTCTGCCTCCTGGACCCAAACTGGAAGCAGGTTCCGGAGCAGAGGATCTGCTTAAGCGTGTCATCTCTTGATGAGCGTGGCGTGACCTGTTTGGACCTGCACGCTGTGGACGGCTGGTCCTCTGAGGCCCGGCAGGACAAGCCCACTCCAGCTCACCGGGAGACTCGGGGGGTGGGGGGGCATTTCACACAGGTTTCGATGCCTTTTCCTTGGAGACTAGATCTTTCCAGACTGCGCGGGACTCTTCTAAACTTCACAGTCAGCTTTCTGACAGTGTCCGTCTGCCTTCCAGAGTGAGAGCAAAGAGCACAGCGTTCAGTTTACAGCAGAGAAATAACGGCTGCTCGTAAAAGGCTGTGTAGCAAGTGTTATTCCTCTGCCCCGCTTCACACTTTTAGGTGTTGTAAGCTCTTTATGGACGTCACATGGCCAGAGAGCCGGTCTGCGGCAGGACTGGGACTCTGCTGCTCCAGGACTGTGTCACACACAGACACATCTTTATTCTTAGTCAGATTTTCCTTTTTGTACTGAGCGGTTAAACCCAGATGTCATGCTTTCTGTGGCTGGGCCCCCCCCCCCCCTGCTTGGAAGGCAGCTATACTAACCACTACACCACCACTCCACGTTGCTCATTAGCTTTAGCTTTACGTGTCCAGCTGTATAATGAGGCTGGAACATTTGGCCTAAATGGGGTTCGTTATGCTAATCAGCTGAGGCTTCTTTAGGTTAATAAATCTGTTCAATGCCTAGCGTGAATATTGAATAAAACATCAGCAAAAAAAATCAAAGTAATTAAGAAAATCAGTTAAAGGTTGGATTTTAATACTGATTCTTTGTGTGGAGGGAGGGATGATGGATGGAGGGATGATGGATGGATGGATGGATGGATGATGGATGGATGATGGATGGATGGATGGATGGATGGATGGATGACGGATGTGTATCCTGTGTGTGTGCGCGTGTGTGTCTGTGTGTGTGTGTCTCTGTGAGTGTGTATGTGTGTGTCTGTGTGTGTGTGCGTGTATGTGTGTGTCTGTGTGTGTGTGTGAGTGTGTGTGTGTGCATGTGTGTGTGTGTTCGTGTGTCTGTGTGTGTGTGTGCATGTGTGTGTGTGTTCATGTGTGTGTGTGTGTGTGTGTGTGTGGTGGTTAAACCTGACCCTTGCCCTCTGCCACCTCACATCCTTTCTGTGTGTTTACTGTTGACTCCAGCCTGGCTGTGTTCTATCTTTGGTGCCATCATGTGTAAAGCTCTTATCTATGTGGGTCATCTTTATCAGAGAGACACAAATCATTTCCCATGCTCCAGTGCATGACCTTCCTTCATGAGGAGTCATTAAAAATACATTTCCATGCTCCTTAGACCCAGCACCAGCCGCACAGACTGCCTGTCTTATTTGATTGTGTCTAGTTTGTAAGGTCCCTGCCAGCTATCGTTTTCAGAGTTCTTAATATCCAGAATGCCACTGCAATGTGATTCTGCATGTCATGCTTTTAGTTTTCTTCGGGTCAGACAATTATAATCCACAAGAATGTTTTACCGGTGGAGTGGGTGGCACGTCACCCACTCCACCGGTGACAGTTCTGTTTCGGCTTGCAGCTAGCAGCCGAAACATGTCAACAAGGTAAAACATTCTTGTGGATTATTATTGTCTGACCCGAAGAAAACTAAAAGCATGACTAACACAGACGAAGACAAGAAGAACTTAATACAAGTAAGTAAGTGATTCTGCATGTGTTGTTCCTCCTCAGGTGGTTTTCAGTAGATTCTGCAGCCCGTGTGACATTAAGGAGTTATTCTGCTCAGCTGTGGGTGTTCCAAGGTAAACAAAAGCTACACAAACATACCTGTTTGCCATCGTGGGGTCCAGCACACATAAGCCAGGGCTGCTGTTGCACCAGTTCCAGGATGGCAGCTTCCTCTCACTGGCTCTGGGTTTGGTAATAGCACGATGAATGGTTTGTTATTAAACCAGAATCAGAACCAGAACCAGAATGAGGCAGCACGTCCTGGTACGTATGCACAGGAGCTCATCAGTGATCAGCCAGAGACTCTGACGCCCTGAACTGTAGAAGAAATTCTACAGTACACACTACTGCCTCTAATTTCCTCTGTTTTAGATAGTGGTCCCCGTAAATCCAGATGAACCCTCTGCCCAGAGTCTGACTTTAAGCTCCATTAACAGGGATTCATGGGGCTGTGGTTAGAGAAGCAGGATTATTGGATCAGAGCTACAGCCTGGACAGGCTTTCAGTGGGCTGACATCAGGCCCACTCTCTGAGCAGAGACACAGAGAAAGCCCTGAAAGGACGCAGCTTTATGGGGGATTTAGCTCAATGAATGTCCGTTCACACTGCTTAACTGAAGATGGAGAGCAGAGCAGCGAGAGCCGCCCGATTGTTGGCTGTGGATAAACTCGGTTTCACACAGTTTAGGCTGGACTCAAATGTTAACCTCTGTTTCAGAGGTCAGTGTTGCCTAAACAAGTGCAACAAATATACAGTATTTTTCTGACAGGATGAGTGGATATCAGTTATTTGATCTGACTGAATAATGACATTGATTTGTGGGATGTGGTGTAGACTAAAATGTCCAAATGAACCTGAGGGATAAAGACTTCATATGTGACTACATTGGACAGTGTCTGTAAGAAATAAATCTATCCTAACAGTGTTTCTGACTAATGCACTCAATGATAGCTGGTCTGGAAAGGTTTAACCACTCTGGATCTCAGGTCACAACAACGAACTTTGAGGAGAGTCGCGAGGAAATTTGTCTGAGTCACTCCCTTTTTAAGGGCATTTTGCTGTTGGCCTTCTACATTTGATAGGTTGTATGGTGTCATGTACCATGCAGTCAGATCATGTCTACAAAGCTTTGAGGGAGAGTCTATCCTCTTGCTGTAGGCACGGTTGGTGCTACGTAGACTCTGACTCTGACGTGCTTTGACATCCATTGGTCTACTTATTTCATATTTCTCTTGTAATGCAGAGCTCATCTATTAGGAAAACAGTAGCATATTTGCATGGTTAGCTTTAGCATGTACAGGCGTTATGGTTGGGTCCACCGGCCGAGGGTAACTGAAAACTAAGGATCATGCTATTACACCCATGCAGTGCACTATGAAATTATTTGCATTGTTGGACTGTATATGAGCTTTAGTTTTATAAAGTTATTCAATGGTAGTTTGACAAATATCTGTGAAGGACTGAGATTTGGGATTCAGAGAATCGCAAAGTTTCTCAGCTCCAGTTTGACGGAATGTGAAACTGAATGAAGACTGAATGTGTGTTTTCCCTCTAGAAACACTGATCTGTCTGTGCTGGATTCGTCTGGAGCGATGGTGTCCATCGACCCCACCATGCCACACAACACAGACAGGTATCCTGTTGGCTCCTGATGAAATGATGTGTAGAGCAAACTTCATGTCAAACAGGGAAACAAAACGGTGATGCAGGCAGAGGAGGAGGTTGCCTTTAGAGTCCACTGTGTACTGAGGACTTTTCCTACAACTGACCAGTTTCATTCCAAAGTTTATGGTTCTTCTGGTATTGGCTGAGCAGAAATGTGGGATTACTCTGCGGGGGGGTAATTGTTACATGAGAAATGAGAAAATGTTACTCTGTATGGACTATTATACTATTGTTATATTTATAATGAGGATATATATTTATATTGATGGAGCAGATATCTGAGCTTTCTGATGTCAGAGTAAGACCGGAGGAGGACCCCAAATCCCCTGTTTGCTGAAACGGGGATCAAATAGTGAATGAGCGTCTGAGCCCAGAGCCAGAGTCACAAATCTGTAGAGGAGGAGCTTCCATAGATGGAGCCGAGGTGGCGTTAGCCCCGTCCCTGCAGAGGGTCTGGATCCCACTGGGAGCCTTTCTGGGTGGTTAGCATGTTCTCCCCGTGGCTGCCTGGGCTCTCTGTGGGTTCTCCAGCTTCCTTCCACAGGCCAAAAACATGCATGTGAAGATGGATATCCTCCTTGTATGGAGGACCATACAGGGAATAAGCCAGATAGAAGACGGATGGGTGGATCTATGACCAGTTTTTAATGAAACTATAGTGATGTTTCTTGTAGCTAGCGGGAAGGAGAGCAGCTCTCATTGTTAGCATACACATCTCCTGGTTGTGTTTGCCACCAGTAGGGAGATGTTCCACACAGAGGCGGGTCAGCCGGGTCTAGAAATGAGAAAAACTCTCCTGGCAAACGGTCCTCTCTTAGTCCAACTGTGCTAAGACAGCTGATGTGCTTGTTGACGGGGATTTGAGCCGAGTGGCCCCACTGGGCTGCCTGTCTGCTACTGTAACAGGGCACTGGTAAATGTGTCTGGAAGAAATGGCACTGGTAAATATGTGGCTGGATAGATATGTGTGGAGGGTTAGGTTCTTGGAGTATGTGTAATAATTAGCCTTTCCTAAGTTCATAAGTCAGATCCAGGCTACCTTTGTCTGCTTTGGCTGGGTGCAGTCTCAAACAGCTGTTTTTATTCTATATTACTTTGATATTTGAATGATGATTTCTAGATTGCAGCTGTACTAAAACTCATGGAATCTGGCATTAAGTAGAACCTATCATCAAAGATGGGACTCCTGGGTTAAAATCTGGGCACACTCACAGGAAGCAGAGTTGATTCTCAGATGAGTATTTCACTCACAGCTGAGGGTTATTTGAAGAAAACTGCTTCTACTTCTTTTCTCTTTTTTTTAACCACAAATGAGTGATATGTAAAATACTGCTCAGCAGGAGGGAGGGTAAGACTCACTCTGTGCCACTAGTTCACACAAATGTTACCCACTCCAAAAGTGGGAACTCTTCCAGCCCTCCCTGTAGATGTGCTGGATGAATAAGGGGACTGATTTGGGACTGGATCTGTCCCATGTGAAGGCAGAGAGGTGGGACGGGGATTGAAGATGACCCGAATTAAACAGGCTATGTCTGCGTCATGGGCCTCTTCAGTTCCACCTGAACAGGATTGTCATTCAGCTGTTCCTTGATGTTCCTCCTATGTTTGTCAAAGAGAAAAGGTGGAGGGTTGACAAGAAGTTACCATGCCAACGCCATCGTTCACCAATGGGAGCAGGGGCGATGCTTTTGAAATGCTAATCAGCACCAGACCAGTGCGTCCCGGAGAAGACAACAGATTCATTTAGAGCAAAGATGGTGAATTGATCAAAAACTGTATTCATAAAAAACAGATTTTAATCATTGGACTTTGGTCCTCCAGGGCCACCGTACTGCAGGAAGTCATAGGATTCAATGCACCATTAGCAGGCTTGAGCAAAGCTTTGAAATAGACCGGTTTAATCAAAATCATGTTAAAGCAGAGAAACCTCTGAAACCTGCGGGACAGCGAGGTTAATACGGCGTCTTAAGATCTGTGTTCTGAACCAGCCTTTACCAGCTCAGGCCAGGCACTCCGTGGACAGGCAGATAAACATTTTGAGTTAAAAAAACGTTATAACAAACCTGGACTTTTCAAGTTGTGCCACTAAGAAGTTGGAACAGAAATGAAATTTCCTTAGTCACCTAAATGGGAGTGGCATGCCTCCCAGCTGACAGATCCTAGCCCCGCAAACAGAACACTGGCTGGTTTTGCATGTGTGTGACGGTTATCTGTCCTGATAGTGAACTCTAAATCATATGACCCAGCAGGACTGCATTAATTATCCTTCCTGGAAACAGGAAATAAGAAGAGGATAGGGTTTGTAAACGCTTATAGCTATTTCTGCTATGGCTGTTGGAGAGCTGACGTTTGCCTGTGTGCTTTGTGTTTCAGGTCCCCGTACAGAGTAGTGCCTGTAACAGCTGGACAGCCTACTGGTGAGTAAAGGGCACATATCCCAGTGGGGTCACAGTGGGTGGGCCTATCCCATCAGACAGCCGCTGAGAGGCGGGTCCTCCCTGGGCTTTATTTCCTCCTTCAGGGAAATTCTGGTTCCAGTAGCTTATGTAGAGTACAAAGGGCAGAGTTAAAGCCAGATGCTAGTAAAAAGATAAAAATACAACAGATGATATAGAAAGAGTGTGTCTAGTCCATCACAGGGCCACACAGAGACACACATCCAGTCACTCCTTTCTGTGTCAGAGCCCGACTGGCAGCGGGACGCAGATGCAGGACTTTCCCCAAAGAACAGCCATTATTGAATTATGTCTGCTGATACTAGAGTTACTAGTTACTACTACTAGAGTTAACACACAGGAACATGGAGGCTCAGGACAAAGGCAGACGCTGGCTGTAGGTGCACCTGGACAAGTGTCCAAGTGGTCCATTAATGATGCTGTGTGTGTCTGAGTCCACATCCCAAAGCCTTTCTGGAGATGTAAGCAATCTCTGCTCCCACTTCAGTTTGTCACCACCTCACCAGAGAAAATTAAGCTCTGGATGTATCCTCTGCAAATATAAGGCCTGCATGCAGCTCCTCTGTTCTGGGGGTCGTGTTGCACTCCCCTCCTACTATCACATGTGACAATAATACAACCATATTTCCAGCGGTCTTGTTGACATTGTTGATCATAGTATAATGTGTGTACCTCACTCTGATTGACACAATGTTCCTATTCCCCTCTGCTGCTCTCTGACTGTGCCATGCAGTTTATCTGTGTCGCTTAGATTGTTGGATGGTGACCAACACTCACTCTGGTCAATTCAGATTTACAACATACTGTAATGGCATATCTGCAGACTGGAGAGGCCAGAGGGAAATACACACAACAGAGAGGCACTTGTCCATCTGAGGGAGGACCTGGCTGGGAGTTAACTGCACCAAGAATCATTCTGGGATGTTGACAAGATCTGACTTGATTTATTTCTTGGAAATGTTAACAGATTGAAGTGATGAAAGGTTTTCCTTTTTGCATGGTGTTTTTTTATTTGAAACACCCTAACTGGGGACTGTGTGTGTGTGTGGTGTGTGAGCTTCTGAATGCTGCTTTATGGGCCTGGTTAATCACTGAGCTATTGTTTATTGACACCTTTGAGTTTTGCAGGAAGGCATGAATGTGAGTGATAAGATGTCCTAACTATTCCGTGTTCTTCTGGAAGAACACTGTGGCATTGAACTCTGGCCGGAGTACTTTTAGCAAAATAGCCGAACTGGGCTTCAGCAGTCAACCGAATGAGAAAAGGCTGGTTCAGGTCACGGCTGTTCTCCAGACGGTCAGCCAGTCACCCGCATGGGGGGGGGGGGTCCAGCTCTGGGATTAGCTTACATAACGCCCGTGTCCATATCTGTGCTGGCTGATGCACTCCAGTCCAGGTCTCTACAGATACAGTCACGTCTGATGTGTGTGTGTGTGTGTGTGTGTTCATGCAACCTGCTGATTGAGGAGGAGCGTGTAGGTGTGTTTATGAGTGTGTATTACATCTCATGGCTGCTCTCTCTTCAGATAAAGAGGAACTCTTCCAGAATGCACTGACACAAGTGGCAGAGCAGTTTTCAAGGTAGGCAAATGGCTTTATATATTCACACAGCAGCACATTTTCACTCTGAATTTACTGTCATTATGCAGCTAGTAGACAGAGATATTAGGGTTAGCTGTGTCTACATCATTTACTGGACTGATTCATTTAGCTTCTGAAGGATCTCTCTGTACGGATTGTATTGTTTCCAGAAAGGACAGAATCTTTAATTAATAAAATTCAGACAAAAGATAACAGTCATTCACCTGAGGGAGGAAGGTAGGAAGATCAACAGGAGTTACTGTTGTCATGGAGACAACCTCCATCTGTTCACAGGGTGTTCAGGATCAACGAGCTGAAGACCGAAGTCACCAATCGGCTCGCCATGTTGGAGAAGAGAGTAGAGTGTGAGTGTCTCTGGATGAGTTCTTTTCATGACCACCGTCATCATGAGGACAAAAAATCATGTTGCTGCACTTCAGTTGATTCATTTTTGGGTTATATAGTCCAGTAAGACCCTGTTTTCTAAGTTAAGACAAAACAAGACAACAGACTGTCTTTACTATCATTGAATTAAGTTTTATAGATTCCAATTAATAATGATAATTTAAATCAGTTTAGTTTAAGTTTATTTAGCTGTCAAAGAGAAACAGCACTTGCCATTTAAATGACCACAACCACTTTTACAAACATCAACGATGGTAGGGATTCCAGTGGCGAGCTAGATTCACCCTGAGATATTATTATTATTAGTATTATTATTATTATTATTATTATTAGTAGTAGTAGTAGTAGTAGTAGTAGTAGTAGTAGTAGTAGTAGTATTAGTATTATTGTTGTTGTGGTTGTTGCTGTTGTTGTTACTGAGCCGCATCCTGAGTGGGGGAGCATGTTTGTGGGGTGTCAGAGCCGGGGGCTTTGCCCCAGGTGCAGTCCAGTAGACCTTTGACCTCAGAGTTATGTGGGTGGTGGGATTCTGGCCAGCCAGTCTTCAGCTGTTTTGAGGACTTGAAGAAGGCTCAGGCCCATGTCCGCTGAGCCCTTCTGTGGGGCTGATGACACAGGAGTACCTGATGTAGGCTCTCTGGGCCTGTAGAGCCTAAATCTGGGTCTGTTTGCACTGGTGTGTCTGATTTTTATTGGTTTTTCACTGCTGGATCTGGAAGTGTAGTGTTGTCAAAGGGCCCTCTTCTATAATATTCAATCAGTGAGGGTGAGCAGTCCTCACATCCTTCCTTACGAGGCAGTAATTAAAGAAAAGGTGAAGCTAAAAGCCGGTGGGTTTTGTTAACGTCTGCTGCAGTGCTCAAGCAAAGCAAAGCCATTTGTCTCTACCTTACTTTTTTATCTTACTGCACAATTTTTGCCAATGTATGAGTTATTGTCAATTACATTGGATGACAATGTATGTGTTGTCTACTAGCAAAGGTAGAAATAAAGGGTGTTAGAACCAGTTTTTTCTGCCTGTTTGTAAGTTACCTAAGACCTGAGGATGACTGATCCTGTACCGGCCGGTTGGTGAAGAGAAGTAAGTTAAGTTCTTTTGAATTAGCTAGATTAGTGATATTATGACATCAACTACATATTCCTCTGATTGGCTGTGATGACAAAATCCCAGCCAATCAAAAACCCCATGAGACTGTGACATTAAAGGGGTCAGAGCACGAAGAGCACACAGGCTCTGAAAGCAGAGCCTCTCCAGCTGCTGCACAGCCACTTCACTCAAGCAGCCGGTTGCCTACATACCTGGTCACTACAGCAACGGAGCCCCGTCTCCATCCTCTCATCACTTTGGTCGCCATGGTTACCCAGCGCAGTGGGAGCTGGAGTGTTGGAGCCGGGAGGCCGGATTCTGCCGACTGGCTGATGTTCATGTTAGCCAGCCGGCTCCACAGAACCACCACACAGGCTCCCAGTGATGAGAGACAGGGCACTTTAAACCCTCAAGAAGGCATCATTATGGATGTCAGACCTTTTTAATCGAGTATATAAGTCAGACATTACAAACATAAGCACAACAGAACGTTTTCCTAGTCCAACAGAGCCCCATTTCTCCAGGGAGAAGGTACTGGACAAACAAGCTGACGTAACATCACCTTTAAAATGACTAGAACAGAAACCCCAAAGGCACAAAAGGACAGAGAAAATAGATAGGAGGATTTTTTAAAAAGAAGAGAGGATAATTGAAATAAGTAAACTAAGTAAAAGAAGAGCCCTCTCAAAGCTTTAGGCTGATGGTGGTGTGGGCTCAGTCATCCAGGTGAGGCCTGCATCACTGAAATCCAGTTATGCTGTACAGCCTTAGAGAGGTTTCCATATTTTTCGTGTTTCTCTGATACCAGGAGCTGCAGAGGGCCATTGCTCCACATCCTAAAGGTTGAGGGGAGTTTCTCTTTTCCACTGGAGGAGTGTTGTGACTCTGGTGCTATGCTGGTATCTGTAAAGGTAACTGTCAAACGACTCTCTTTCTGCAGTGGAGAGCATGAAAGTGGTGGAGATTGAGAAATGCCGCAGTGAAATCAAGAAACTCCGTGAAGAGATGGCCTGTCATAGCAGCAGGTGAGATGACACCTGTGAGGGTCTGTGGTCATGCAGCCAACAGGGTGAGAGCTGCAGGTGGAGGTGTTTCAGAATTAGCTGCAGATGGCTGTCAGGGCTCTTTTTCCAGGTTGCACTCTCACATTATTTCTGATGTTCTTACCATATTCATGTGATTAGATGTTAGACGCATTATTGATTAAAATCCAGAAGTTTTTCATTGTAATAACATACCTGATTAATAAGAAAGCTTTAAATATTCCAACGTCAGAGCTGAATGTTTGACTTTATCAGTTCAGGCTTTAAAATGATGCGTCTGGATTCACTGAACTATTTACTGACATATTTTCAGTGAAAAGTGTTAATAAATAAACTAGATGGAAGAAATAGATGGATAATTATCTAAATACTGGTCAAAGCAAAACGTTTGTTTTTTATTCTTAATGGGAATGTGGATATTATAATGATGAGAGCCACAAGCATTTTTTTTTCTAAACCAGAAAATAAAATGACCCTCAGGAGGAGTTCAACCCCACAAACAACACAGGCTGTTCCCTTTTAGACTACACGACTGAGTTTATTCACTTCAGACCAGAAATGGAAGCAGCTCGTGTTCTTCAAAGATTCCTTCAGATTTTCCTGACAGTCGTGAAACCATCAGCTCTGCATGTGCTTTGAGCCCTAATGACAAAGTTAGGGTTTTACTTTTGAGTGACAAACAAGTAAAACAGCCTAGTGTTCTTCCGTGGTGTTTTTCTTGAGATGTATTTTTCATTTCAGGACTGTCCTTGAAGACAGCAGGAGGCTGATCCCCCACAGAGATGTACCCGCATACCCAAAGGTAAGGCCTCTACGGCTACTGTCATGGAGTCATGGCTCTCCCTGTTCCCAGCTGGTACAATTAGGAAAGAAGAGAATAGCAACTCTTTCAAGAGCTATTCTTGTAATTAAAGATTTCAGGTGTCGTCACATTATGATTTTCTACTTTAAGGTAAACTGAAATATACTGATGCAAACACACAAACCAATGTGCTTCAAGCCTTCATTAAATGGACACAGACCCAGTCACCTCATGCACGTGCTCAAGGAACAAAACTGACCAGGTTCCCAGAGTTTGCAGAAACCTATCTGTCACACTAAGCCTGTTAGACTTATTTTGGATGGGAAGCTGCCATTTTCCACCTAGAACGACTCCTCTTATCACACACTAAGGCATCTGATCCACTGCCCTAACCCTGGAGCTAGCTCTGATCTCCATCAGCTAATTTACTGGGGCCAGGTTTAACAAGATATTGGCTGTTTTAACTGGAATCAGCAAAGATTAGAATGAGAGTTGGTAAACCTCTAAATCTTCTCTGATCTGCGTGTAGTACCACCTGTCCAAGGACACAGTAGAAGCTCTGCGCCTGCCTACGTTTGATGTCTGGCAGTGGGAACCCAATGAGGTGAGTCCTCCAGTACGGCACTGTTGTACCTCCTTAAACAGGGTTAATACTATTTTAGAAGTATTTAGAAAAGTATTTAGAAGTATTTAGAAAAGCTCCGGGAGCACCGTTTGAATCTGTGCAGTGATTGCTTTGCTTTGATCGTAGGCACTGCTTTGTGTTCTTTACCAGATGAGTGGTACATTTGTAGAAGCTAAATTTGTAGAGGACACAACATGGCACTTTTTGTTCCTTTTTTCAGATGCTGAGCTGCCTAGAACACATGTACCACGACCTGGGCCTGGTCAGAGACTTCAGCATCAACCCCCTAACGCTCAGGAGGTGGCTGGTGAGAGACAGGCCCACCACCCATCCACCACCCACCACCCATCATCCATCCATCCATTGTTACATCCACCCATCCATCACCCATCCATCTATCCATCCATTATTACATCCACCCATCATCCATCCACCACCCATCACCCATCCATCCGACACCCATCCATTATTACATCCACCCATCCAATATCCATCCATCCATCCCAGGACTCCAACCCAGAAACCCTCTGGCTGTGAGGCCTTGGTGCTGACCACCTCACCACGTGCCGTCCAGATACAGACCCAAAGTCACATCTTTTAAACTCAGTCAACAGTGTTCAGTTCAGTTCAGTTAATAAAAAAAACATGAAATTCTACATTTTACAATATACATAGTTGCACTTTTTCCATCATTATTTTTTCTCTCCGTTGTGCAGTTGTGTATTCGTGACAACTACAGAAAAAATCCCTTCCATAACTTCCGCCACTGTTTCTGTGTAACCCAGATGATGTACAGCATGATCTACCTCTGCAGCCTACAGGTAACTAGCTTCTGCTCCTGAGATATCATAAACTTAATCTTCATGTTTGTCATTCACTATCACTGGAGCCAAATAAAGAGCAATGTCTGTGTGTCTCTTTCTGCCCTGAACATAAGACACACACAGATGAGGAAGTTTGGTCGTAGTTCTGTCTGTTGTAGGTACGCTGTAGTTATAGACAGGTTCAGACGGAAAACATGGAGCATTCGACCAATAGCAGACAGGAAGTGGTGCTGGAAACCCTCAGAGGCCTCCATCAGTGGGCTGGGCTGAGTTCTCACAGGTGAACTCTCAGTGGCAGCCTGGCCTGCAGATCAACATCTGGGCTGCAGATGTTCTCTATGTCATCTCCAGGTCCCTGCAGCTGTTGGTAACCAGCTCTGTAATCCAGAGCCCAGCATCTGAGAAGCAGAGCTCCCCAAAACAAATACGTTCCTCTTCATAGCTGCAGCTTGGACAGAGTTCCACACGCATCTGGAACAGGCTGTGTCCAAGAGACAGACACAGATTACAGAGTTAAAGTCTGCTCATTTGTGTCTGTAGGAGAAGTTCACCCAGCTGGACATTTTGATCCTCATGACAGCTGCTGTGTGCCATGACCTCGATCACCCCGGCTTCAACAACACGTGAGGCAAACCATAGAAATCCAGATATTTGCAGCCTCTCACTCCTTCTACTCTGGCCCCCTCTGTCCCTCTTCATCACATATCTCTTTTTTTGGGAAAATACCAAAGTACCTCCAAATCCTTTCTTTTATTCTCCCTCCAGATCTGATATCTTTTGTTCCTTTCCCACCATATTCCCTCCCCTCTGGTGTTTCCAACATCATCTTTGACATTTCCAGACCCCTCCACGTTTCACCAGTCCTCACCTGTCCTTCCTCTTCCAGGTACCAGATTAATGCCCGAACGGAGCTGGCAGTTCGATACAATGACATCTCTCCCCTGGAGAACCACCACTGTGCCGTGGCCTTCCAGATCTTTTCTCAGCCAGACTGCAACATCTTCTCCAACTTCCACCCCGAGGCTTTCAGACAGATCCGGCAGGTGGGTGTGAGCTGGTGTGGCCCCCTGTGTTCTGCTGAGTCTCACGGGGTTTCCACAACCTGGTCACTGGTGAAACTTAGCATGAAACACAGTTTGGAAGGTGTTCCATTCTGTTAGTTAACAATCAAATGATTTAAGATTCAGCGTCCTAAAAAGTCTCTCGGGCCGTGGACAGCCTGATTTATGACGATGGTTGAATCCACTATCGAAGGGTTTGTTAAGTGGAAATCTTCTTGAACTGTTGGATTACAGACTTAGCTTGATCTCACACTACTCTGGCATAAAGTCAAGTGAAGCTCCACACAGGCGTGTCTGTGCTGTGTTCAGGGGACCATCACGCTGATCCTGGCCACAGACATGGCTCGACATGAAGAGATCATCGATTCCTTCAAACAAAAAATCGACAGCTTTGACTACTCGGATGAGGAGCACATCACCTGTGTAAGCTGGAGGGATGCTAACGCTACAGTTTCAGATGTGATGTCATGTTGTCACTAGACATGAAATGTGAGGCCCACTGTGCATGTCCCAGTGTCAGAATGTGCGAGGCAGCAGAGGTTATTCAGACGGGCGGCTTCGAGAGAAACCACCTTCTAATGACCTTTACATCTGTAGAAGCTTCTCTTTCTGGAGTCTGACTGAAAAGGGTTTGATGCTGTGCTACTGGGTGGAGTTTCCTTTTAAAATGGGGAAACAGCACAAATCATTAAATGGACATGAGCCAACAGGTAGCCAGATGTTGTCCTCTGCTGGAGGATCTACTGGCAGGAGCCAATCAGAGCTGCACACTGAGGGGCCTCAGTCCTCTGGCTCATGCTGTGCTGTGTCTCCTGTGGCTGCAGCTGAAGATGGTCCTCATCAAGTGCTGTGACATCTCTAATGAGGTGCGGCCCATGCCTGTGGCTGAGCCCTGGGTGGACTGTCTGCTGGAGGAGTATTTCACCCAGGTGGGTCTGGGGGGGCACAGGGTCTCTGTCCAGGTGGTGGAGCTCCATCAGGCATCTTCAGACGGCTGATGCTGAACTCTGTACTCACATGTGAGTGTGTGCTTTGAAGGCCAGCTGAGTGTCTGTGTGTGAACTGTGTGCTTTGTGTCCTGGCCGTGCGGCTCAGAGTGACAGGGAGAAGGCAGAAGGGCTTCCTGTGGCTCCATTCATGGACAGAGAGAAGGTCACCAAGCCATCGGCACAGATTGGATTCCTCACATTCGTCCTCATTCCCATGTTTGAGACTGTGATGAAGGTGAGCATGCAGAGTGGAGATGGCAGCTGAGGAGAGTCAGCTGGTTTATCACTCATGGCCATGTAGCGTTTAAGTAGCACAGCAGAGATATGGAGGAAGACGATGCTAACAAACGCACAGATGGGTTGACTTTAATTGATGTGCCCTGGACATTTGTGGGACTAATCAAGATACAAACCTCATAAAAAGAGCTATGGTTCCTTCCTGCAGGTCATAGCAGTTACAGCCTGAGACTGTCCACTATGTTCCACGTTCATAGATCAATTTAGAAGTTTACCTCATCAAACACATTTAGAAAACATTTTGTTTTAATTGGAATAGAATAAGAAGACGTTTAGGAAAATTAGACCAATACTGGAGGTTTTCTTGCTGTTGGGTACTTAGCATTCAGTCTATGTTGGGAAGTTTTACCTCACTGAGGGCCGGAGGACAGTGTGAGAAATACTCTCTTAGATTTTGACCAATCAAAACACAGATAGCACAAAGTGATATCATCAAAGATTAAACCCAAAATGCTTCATTCATCAGTCTTGATGGGAACCAACAACGTGTCTCAGCACTTTAATTAAGTTCCCATCTTTTCATTTTTTATATTGTCACCATACATTTCTATAACTTCCATAATCTAAAAGTCCATCTCGTTTTGATGCATGTGTGCACCCACACTGCCACTGAAATTAGAGAATTACTGAATTTTGTGATGATGTTGTTGTGACTTATGGGTTTTAGAAGTTTCCTTCAGCCTTATTCACCTACTCGCAATTCCCTAAAGCCATCAGTCTGATTCAGATGACAGCATTTATACACAGAGCAGACTGGAGATAAGCGCGTCATCACAGATGCCCCAGCAGCCTGAGAGCGTAGCAGTGTAACCACGGGATGTTTCAGGGTCCTCCCCGCTATACCGACCAGCTGTACCGGGTCAAAGACAGAAAGCTGCTCCTGGAAGACTCTCCAGTCAGCCGCTACACACTGAGAGGTCAGGGTGCAGCATCCAGCAAACCTGAATGACCTTAGTGCTAACTGTACAGAGACTCCAGAGCCAGGTTTCAGCATGGACAGAGCGGAATACTGTCGATTCAGGTCTGATGAAACATCCGAGAGAAAAGAGCCAAGGACAGAAACCACCGTCCACCATAACCCCTACAGCCATGAGGGCTCTGCAGGAGGCTGTGAGAAAGCAGACATTAGAAGGATGTCACCACGTATGAGTCAGACAGGAGACGTGATCAGTTAGGATACCAACAGTCAGGATGGACCTGAGTACGGTCAGATGAGAGGTTTGGTTCTCTGGCTCTGGTTAAGCTGGCCTCTTCTAATTCAAATCAAGTTCAAATGTTAGGTGTCACTAAGCGTGTTAAGTGCAGATGAAGAATGAACTAAAGTAATGCTTGTTTTCTTTGAAACAGTTGATCTGGATGTATGAATCATTTTGGCCCTTTTATTCTAATACAAGCAAAAAAAAAAGTCAAATTAGCCCAAAATGAAACAGCACTCATGATGCACAGCAATAATATAACTGTGTGTGTGTGTGTGTGTGAACAAGCTTTTCCCTCAGCTGGAGGCGGCTATGGTGCAGCCCCTCAAAGAGTCCCGACACCAATATGAAGAACGCAGACGGACTGATGAAGCCACCACTGAGGTGTGGAGGACTCCACTTTGTTTCTGTTTGGGAACCTTTGATTTTCGTACTGATACTGAGCCAAAGACCTACCCCCTTCAGGTCCAGAACAGAAGAATTTAGCCAGCTGAGGCCAGCAGTAAAAGCTGGTAGCAGCCTCCGTCTGAGCCGGGCTTCCTGTAGCCCCCCCCCCCCCGGCTGCCAGCAGGGGGCACCGCAGAGCCAGCTCCCAGCCTGCTGGGGGACCAGAGGCCTACAGCCAGCCTTCAGGACCGGCAGAGCCCAGGCGGCTTCACTCAACAACACACACACCACTCACACATGTACAGATTTTTTAAACCTTTATTTACTAAAGAATAAAATGAATTATTTTCAAAGTCCGCCTCCTCTGTCGGCTGAAGCCTCACCAGCTCCGACGGCTTAAAGCAGAAATACCAGAACTTCCTCCAGGATGGAACGATCTCCAGGTTTACTTCCCTACAGGAAAATACCCCCCCCCCTCACATTTTGCAAATGCAGCTGAAGTCTTTCAGGTTCTGGGAGACGACTTTTAAACTAAAATGCATGAGTGGCGTTAGAAGTGGCCCCTGTGCTGAAAACTCTAACATGTTAGTGAACTACGTCCTACCAGCAGGGGGGGGGGGGGGGGCACCTCTGCCTCAGGGGCCTGAGCCCCCCTGGTGTCAGCAATATTTAGCTGATCTCTCTTTGACCCAACAGAAGCCCTTTCTCTGCTTAGATGAATTCCATTAGAACTCCACCCACATCTGGGAGTGTAGATGACACTGCATTCGATGGGTCAAATGTTGGAACAGATTGTTGACTAAGCAGAAAGCTGAGCCTTACGGGAGAGGCCCCAGAGGGGTCCATCCCAGGACGCATAAGGGAAGGAAACAAGGAGACAGTTTAATGTTTGACCTTAAAGTAAAGAGAAGTAAAGAGAAGGGAGCCAAAGCAAAACGGGGGTGCCCACAGCTCCCACACCAGTCGGAACTAAAGGGAATGTGTGTGAGGCCGGAGTGCCCTCAGGCCGTCTGGGTTCCTGAGGGCTCCGTCTTCTGTCTCTTGCTGCCGTTGGCCTTCGGGGCCCCCGTCCTCTTCAGCTGCTGCTCCTCCAGCCTCTGCTGCTTCTTCTGCAGATACGAGCTCACGTTGTCGTAGCTCTCCTTGTACAGCCAGTCGAAGCGGCCCGCGCCCCCCCGGGAGGCTGCAAGAGGAGGGGGGGGTCAGAAAGAGAGGACTTGGGCTGAAGGAGGGCAGAGGGCTGAGGTGAAGGTGGGCCAGCCGGTCTCCAGCCTCTGAGCTCTGCGGCTAACTGAGGGGAGCCCCGGCACCCCAGATGTTTCCTCACACATTCAGAGAGCAAATCTCCAGGTCAGGAATTTGTAACGCCTTGTTTTTCCAATCGTATCTAAAGTAGCAGTACAGAAGATAAACTGCCCACATCCCCTCTGGGCAGCAGCAGTGGACACTGAGCTGAGCCTGAAATAAACCTCAGCTCTTCACACTAAATAACTAAAGGACCCTTTTGCCATTTAGAGTTTCTGCTCTGGATGTGAGTTTAGAAAACTCCACCATCGCAGACAAGACAGCCTCTACTCCCAAACCAAAAGGAGGATTTTCTCCTTTCTGAGGGTCATTTCTCCTTCTAACCGAGTTAAAAAAAGGATCAGTGTTAGGGAGCCAATCCCATTCAGCGTCCTGCTGCGAGTAGAAGGTTTAACGAGACTTTGGAGTACTCACCTTCAAGGGCTTTCCAGTTTTTCCTGAGGGCCTCAGTCACCCTGCAGAGTTCGGGGTTGTCCTCAGACTCACACTGAGGAGAGCAGAGAACAAGGTTCACCCAGGAGCAGGGCCCCCACAGGCCTGGCCACAGCTCTAGTCAAAGCATCATCTGGACCCCCAGAGGGACACGGCCCCACATCCTTATCTGTGGGGTCACTACGGTGAGACGGCCCAGAGCCTCTGTGAGGCCGGCCTGCTGGTCAGAGTGGAGCCGTCTGCCCGCTGGCGAGCACAGAAACAACCGACCACACGCCCCCTTTGGGGCTCATCAGTCCCTGGCCAATCAGAGGTCTGCGCTGGGGACCAGGAACCGTTTAGGTTCCCCTCAGCTTTAAGCCGTTCCCCTAATCCTACCCAAAACCCTGAGAACAGGATGGAGCTTCAGGGTCGGGTGTGCAGACCCAAGTGAAGCAGATCACAGGCTAAAACACCTCAGCAGTCTCGCAAAGCTCGCTTTAAAAAGAATAAATCACATTTTTTAGATCAAATGCAGGACAAAAATGGCTGACCAGGCCCCTGTGGCCCCTGAGGCCCCTGGGAGCTCACTCAGGGCTCAGAGGCTGGGGCTGAGCCCTCAGAGGACTGGATGGGTTTTACCTGCCAGGCGTTTTCTGTGAGGGAGTAGATTTGAAGCGGCACATCGAAGGAGTCCAT